AGGACGCTTTTCAACTGACATTAAAGGGAACCCTAACACCACAAAAACGGCTTTCCGAAACTCTGAACACCTCAAAGCATTTTAAAAAGAATATAAAGATATCTTTTACCACCAAAAAACAGTGGAGATATAAACATGTGAAATGAAGCTATAAACCATCAGTCGTACACAAAAACGGCTTTCCGAAACTCTGAACACCTCAAAGCATTTTAAAAAGAATATAAAGATATCTTTTACCACCAAAAAACAGTGGAGATATAAACATGTGAAATGAAGCTATAAACCATCAGTCGTATTCAAAAAAAAAGCTTTTACAATATCGTCACAGAGAAATATGGACTGTCCATGACAAATAGTAAATCAGTTCCAAGTGTGATGTTGAAAATGACGCTAAAAAAAAACTGAGTCAATTCTCTTCCGAAAAGTGACTAATTTCATTTTCAAACGTTCATCGTTCCATCAACCACGCTCATTAAAATAATAAACCTTCAATGGAGAAGACTATATTTTCTTTTGAATAAAGTTATTGAACCTCGTCGAATTTTCTGTTTGTCAGAAAAAGTTATTTTAGCACAGGGTAATCAAATTGTTTCTTTATATTTTTTTTTAGAATCATAAGACCTCTTCAAGCATTCTAAATTGCTGGTAGAGCTGCTGTTGGAAAAATTATCCCCCAGAATCCGAGAGATTTCAAGTGGAACCTTCCACATTATCCATTTATATAATCTCAAGGACGTTTCGTGACTCGTTGATCACCGAGATGCGTGTCATCAGAAAAAAACCTTACCAGAAAAAAATTCATAATCAGAGAAAAATTTCCTTTTTTCGCCTTCAAGGGGAAGCATGTCAAGAGAACCCAGCTGAAATATATATTTTCGGAAGGTAAATGAATTTCGCACGGGTTAATCGCACACAAAAACGGCTTTCCGAAACTCTGAACACCTCAAAGCATTTTAAAAAGAATATAAAGATATCTTTTACCACCAAAAAACAGTGGAGATATAAACATGTGAAATGAAGCTATAAACCATCAGTCGTGTTCAAGAAAGCTTTTACAATATCGTCACAGAGAAATATGGACTGTCCATGACAAATAGTAAATCAGTTCCAAGTGTGATGTTGAAAATAACGCTAAAAAAAAGCTGAGTCAATTCTCTTCCGAAAAGTGACTAATTTCATTTTCAAACGTTCATCGTTCCATCAACCACGCTCATTAAAATAATAAACCTTCAATGGAGAAGGCTATATTTTCTTTTGAATAAAGTTATTGATCCACGTCAAATTTTCTTGTTTGTCAGAAAAAGTTATTTTAGCACAGGGTATTTTCCCGCGGCAAAACAATTTTTTTTTTAGAATCATAAGACCTCTTCAAGCATTCTAAATTGCTGGTAGAGCTGTCTTTGGAAAAATTATCCCCCAGAATCCGAGAGATTTCAAGTGGAACCTTCCACATTATCCATTTATATAATCTCAAGGACGTTTCGTGACTCGTTGATCACCGAGATGCGTGTCATCAGAAAAAAAGTTTACCAGAAAAAAATTCATAATCAGAGAAAAATTTCCTTTTTTCGCCTTCAAGGGGAAGCATGTCAAGAGAACCCAGCTGAAATATATATTTTCGGAAGGTAAATGAATTTCGCACGGGTTAATCGCACAACAGACCACACAGAACATGCCGGCAAAAAAAAGTCTCGCCCCCCATAATTTTTTTTTTCTTTCTCAGAAGTGTGTCAAATTTTTCCGCGCATTTTGGTCGAGTCTCGACAACCTTGAGGTGCCCAAAAGGACTTGGCTCGGAATTAAACTCATTTTTTCCATACCCCGAGGCAGTTTGAGATCACGATAACTTGACGACTGACTGACTTTTCCGTATCGCCAAGTGGGGCGGGAAATCCTCGCCCTTGTGGAAGGCTTTTTTCATAATGTGCTTTGTCTCGACTAGCATCGACAAGCAAACCAAGTCTCGGGATTTAATCCCATTTATCTTCTACTTCATCATGGGGTTCAGACACAACTTATCTAAAACCGACCAGAAGCTCAAACTTGAATAAAATATCCTTGGGCATCGCAGCGAAAAATGCTAAATTCTTTCCTGCTTCGAAACAATTCAAGAAAAATTCGCTCATTTCTTTAAATTTTACTTTCGTGCGGAAAAATGCGCATGATATGATCGCAATCTGAATCAGTGAATACTAGGTTCTAATTTCCAAAACATTAAAACAAAATTCCAACTACAAGTTCAAACTCATAAATCAAGCATCCGACATTGCCCTGCAAAAAAGCTATGGGTTGAAAATTCGTAGAAATCAACGGGACGAAATTCCTCACCTGCCATGCAGTGATAAAAAAAAGCGCAAAAGCTTTGTTTTTCTTTGAGAAGCCCTTGCTAAATGCCTTCGTGAGGAAACAGGTGAGGAAAAGGGCAATTTTGCGGTTTTTTATTCGCTAAAATAGAGAAAAGGAACCACGTTTCTCACGTCGGAACCGTTAGCTGAGAATCGATCGCACCTCGAGGCATTTTGACCCGCCATTTCGTTTCGGTTGAAATTTATAAACTGTAAAATATTCCAAGGACAGAATATTTGCAAGGGAAAAGAAACAGCTTCTCATTTTTGAAGGGCCATTTTCCTTGTTAATTCACTCTGCACAGACATTTTTGAATCGAATCATTTGAGAAATTCTGCCATACGAAATTTTCATTCTCCGATTCATTCTTTTGCGCACATTCAGACAAATTCGTACGAAATCGGCAGAAAATTATTATTTCCACTTTGATAAAAATTGTGGATTCGTAATGCATAATACGTTTATTTATTATAACCCTGGGTATAATAAACGCTATCACAATCGCATTCTAATTTGCATTAAAAAATCCGAAGTTTTTGGTGCCTGTTTTGTAAGCCTAAAATTTATGTCCGAGGCACCAAAAGGTTATTTATTCCAACAATCATTTTAAAATAAATTCCAGGTTGATTTTGTCAAAGTTTCCAGAAATCCTACAATTTTTGCATTACATTAATAATTTATTTCGCATAGACTTACGGGTATTTCACATTCTTTCTTTTTAAAAATGAATGCTGAGTTTTACGCAGCACATTTTTGAATAGCCTTCATCAGAAGCAACTGGTCAACTAAGTTCCAATATTTGGCAAACAAAAAAGACTTGGTCAACTCAGATACGCATAATTTGCAACAGGTTTGGCAACAACACAATGGCCTGGAAAGTTTTCTCACACTGAGCAATGTTTTCCTGTCTAGCTTCCCACGACGGTTCATAATCCAATCTCAAGACATTGATCAAATTGCGAAATGCATTTTTTCACGCGAAATCGAGCCTTGTGTGCATCACAAATCAAAGTTTGCACAAGACACCGCACGACGTGTTCTCCGAATGAAAAAAGAAAATGGTTCTGTTTCGCAACCAAAAATCGAAAGCCAAAACTTATCCACAGTACACTTGTCGGTACCGTAAAAGGTAAAACTTCAACTTTTTTTTTTTTTCAAGCCTATTGTGGCTTCGGAAGATATTCCATTTCTGAAACAAGAAGTCATGACCATAAACTACTCCTGACAAGCAACAAGTGATATGTAACGAGACCCACATTTCCTTGTTATTATTTCGACCTAAAACAGTACGCCGTACTTTCACCAGTTAAACCAGAATTCTAGATTGCCTTGACTTGCAAAATCCTTGAGGCGCTTCCGCTACGAAAATTTTAACGACGCAATGATTTTAAGCCGTGACGCATTTTAGGAAAGCTTCCGACAAGAATCCGTATAAATTCATCTCGGCTGCCAAATATATATCTTCAAGAGATATTTGAGGCATTTTTTCTCGAGAACTACAAGATAACTGCGGAACGGAATTTGCAAGTGAATTTGACAGATATGAAAAAAAGCGTCACAGGATTTTGAACAAGATTCCGTTTTCAAACAAGGAACTCCGTATACTCACTGTTGCCAAAGGTTAGTAACTCTTTGACCTATGTTTACGAGGCAAGTTCCTCTGAGTGCTAACTGCTTTATAGTACTCCCGTGCTCCCTGCTAAGATATCAAAGCAGTGGGTGTTGAGATGAAGATCTTTAGTTGTTACAGTGTCGGAGAAGTCATTTACTCTCAAAAGTGTTCACATACAAATATAAAAACGAGACTTCGAGAGAGGTTCTGTTTATCTACTACGGGTTCTTTTCTTCTCAATAATAATTCCGCAGTACTGAACATAATAAGTGCGTCTGATAAACTAACAGACACGCCTATTGCGTTTTGAGTACCTTGAAAATGTCCTCGAGTTACGCAGTTCTTTCTTTTTATATTTAAATAAACGAGTTTTTAAATTTTTATTTTTTATAATTTTTTTTAAAAGCTTGAATTGCAAATCTCGCGAAGCATCTGCATTTTTTCCCCCACTCGAACCTTTTCTTCTCTTTCCCCAACTCAAATTAATGCGAGACTTCGTCTAATGCTTTTGTTTCTTCAATGTTATTCGTACGTCAGCAACTGTTTTAGAAAGGTGAGAGAATTAAATCCACGACAGGATCATCTGAGCCCAAAGATAAGATAATCTAAGGGGTGGGGACCAATTGCGCTTTGGGCACCTTTTAGTTGCCCTTGAGCTAAACAGTTTTTTCCCCCACTCTCTCTCTATTTAAAAGTGTCGACATTTAAAATGTTCCTCTCGTTTAAAAGCTCATTTCATCTTGAATTGCAAATTTGGCGACGCGTCCGCCTTTTCTCTCAAAACCTTTTTTTTTCCCTCCCTAGCTTTTCGCAGATGAAATGATTGCGAGCCCATTAGGCGCAATAATGTATTCGCGGCGGGAATGAGCGAGGCCCCGGCGACAAAAGGTCACCGGCATCCATCAGAATAATCCCGGCGGCCCAGGGTTGCGCAACCAACCCGCGCGCGGGGCCCCCAAGGGGAGGGGGGCCTCGACACGGTGTGGCAACCTCACTCGAAATACCCTCAGCACCATCGTTCGTTTTCATTTATGGGTCCCAATCATATAGAATAGATCACCGCGATGTCACCACGTTCTGCTCGGATGAGAAAAAATAAATAAAAGGAGAAAACCATAGTCACGAGGTGATGAGAAATGATCCCAGTTTTGCGGCTGGCTGATGTTTCAAACAAGGCAGGTTAAGAAGTCGTGGGACCAGACCGAATTTAGCACAGAAGAAGTCAGATTACCTGTGCTAATGATCCTGGGGAAGGGGGACTCTGACCAAATAATAGAATATCACGGTTAATTGGGTAATCTTCCAAAACTTGAATTGAACGAATCGAGGGAAAAGTTGAAGTACAGTACTGTAAAATATTCTGAAGGAAATAAATCGGCTGAAATGAAATCCACAAGTTTTACAGCCAATTTATTTTCCTGACAACGACCCGTGTAATCAAAGTTATAACATGACGCTGGCATTTCCGAAGAACGTCTCAGAAAATCTTGAAAAAGAAATTTTGAACAAAAGGGAACATTGTTGTCCAACAATGTGGTCTTTGAGAAAATATCGTAGGGGAATTTTTAAAGGGGAACCCACTATTTACAAACCAGAAACCCTCTCAGACGTTCGTTTCTACGACTGACAATTTTGTTGTTGCTGAGAAAGTCAAACCAGAACTCACCTAAAAAATCCGTCGTAAAGTGTTTGTTGTCACTGCCGTCGTTGGCAGAGGCTGACGCAGAACACTGCGACGAAGCGTCGTCAGATTCTTCCAGTTCCTCGGGTTCTTCTAATTCGGGTTCTGGTTCCACTCGACGGCATTTCTTCAATATGCCTTGGGGCATGATGGGTGTTTTGCTCGGCACCTTTCGTACGAAAAGGTTACACAAACAAATGATTTTAGCCTTCAATTTAAAATAATCTCTCTCTCGCTATATTTCATACTGCTGTAGTAATTTTTTTTTTCAAATTTTAAATCGCAAATACACTGTATTCCAGGCATACATTTATATCGGTCTTCTAATGAAATAAAGCAGAGGACTTTCAACAAATAATAATCTTCGCATAATCGTTTTTCTAGCCTCGTTCTGCCTTCGTTGAAGGCTTTCTGTGTGGATGGAGATGGAAGTACTTCAAAACATGAAGTAATAATATTCTAGAAATTCCTGGTCGCTTTTTCCCGTTGTCAACATTTGTGAAAGGCGCTATGACTTTATTTTGGATTCCGAACCTTCGCAGATTCAAAGAAACTCTTGGTTAAAATCAGAGGGCACCAATTTCGTAATAAAGAATAAAAAAAATATATGTGCTTGCACAAGCTAAATGTTCTTTAATGCTGATCCAGAGCAAACGGAAGGAATGGTACATTCCCTTATCCCAACATTCGCTCATTTGACATGACCTTGGTTCAAATCACTTCAGTTATTCGGGGTTTTTTTCTTGAGTTGAAGATCATAAAAAAATTAAGAACGGAGAAGGTTCTATCACGAGGTATTGCTGGTTTTTTTTTTCGTCTGGGTCTGGCGTCAAATAGGCAAGTTAAAGTTATAAATGGTACGCACAGTTCACGTCCACTCAAGTCAGAGCATTCCCTTCATTCGACCTAACCTTGGTCCCAATTAGTTAAGTTAGTATTCGAGGTTGGTTCTTATATAGTAATTTTTTTTTCAAACAGTGGTAAATTGTTATTTTCCTCGCAGACTCAAAGACACGCGTAACTAGGAACCATTTCAACCCTAGTCGAATAGCATTAGGAGACTTTCTCTCTGAATAATTCTTGGCAGCTTTTGTAGATGAACAATGCCAGTCACTCTGATGATCATAAAATTGATCACGTTTCGAAAAAAAAATTTCAGAGAGATAGTTTTTCAAGAGTTTATGCCATATAAAAAAATTTAGAAAACTGTTCGCAAATTTTATTGGCATTTAAAGACAAACTTGTAGCATCTTTTTTTTTTTACCATGTGCAGTTGAGTACTTTCATACGAAACTATCGCAGGGGATTATTTTTTTTTTCAAGGGAAAACAACATTCGGTCCCAATTAGTTCAATTAGTATACGAGGTAGGTTTTTGTTCACACCATGTGGTAAAAGATCAATTTTTTTTTTGCAAGATTAAAAATGAGAGAGCAACGGTTTCCCTCATTCGTACCTTTCTGCCGGCAATTCCCGTGGCCGCCGAATTGGTCGTCGTCGTCGGCACACCTCCACCACCACCACCACCACCACCACCAGCAGCAGCAGCAGTGGCGCCTTCGGACCCGGCGCCAATGTCAAAGTAGAAGTACTTCTCCATCTGCGACGGCGGCGGCTTCGGATGCGGACTGTGGGTGCGGGACCGCCGTTCGCCGTCGCTTTCTTCGCAGCTCTCCTCGATGATGGTGTGCAGTGTGAAGTCGATGGCACGATGGTAGCCGCGCAGCTCCTCCTCGCGGTCGAAGTACGCCTCATCGCCTGATGAAGCGCCCGACTCGCTGTAGTCGCTGGCTTGTTCCTGCTTGCAAAAAAAAATCAAATCAGAATATATTATGCAGTCAAAATCCGGATTAAAGTGCATTCATCCGTCCTGGGACATTTTTTAAATTGGCATCTCGCAAAATCGGGGAGGGAATTGTTTCAGCGGAAGGCTTAGTCGAGGTCTTCTACGGTACAGACGAAATAAGTTTGTTTGTAGAATTTTCAAGACCAAGGATTCTATTTTCATGGAGACAAAGTCACGAGAAATTATTCGAGGCTCAAATGAACAGTTTTCATGCACTAAATGAGGTATTTAATGAAACAGAATATGTATTTAATATTTTTCCATGTTTTGTGTCCAGTAAAAAGAGCATAGCTGTTTCTTCACGTTGTGAATGGACAATTTTCATGAAAATACACAATCCCACGATCCGTAATTCAGCTGCAGGTATAACGGGACAATATCCAAGCGTAGCCTGAAATGCATTAGATTTTTTTTCAAACCATATTGAAACTTCAATTGGATCGCAAGTTTAAAAAAAATTTTAATTAGATTTTTTTCAACTTGCAATCCAATTGAAGTTCTAATATGGTTTCAAAAAAATTGGATCGCACGTTAAAAACAATTTTAATTTTTTTTAAACTTGCGATCCGATTGAAGTTATAATATGGTCAAGAAAAATTGGATCGCAAGTTTTTAAAAATTTTGACGTTAGATTTTTTAAACTTGCGATCCAAATGAAGTTCTAATATGGTTTTTAAAAATTGGATCGCAAGTTAAAACAATTTTAATTTTTTTTAAACTTGCGATCCGATTGAAGTTCTAATATGGTTTTTTTTTTTAATCTGAAGTTATTTAAGTTCTCCTTGCAAAAGCCTCTTTCAACTATCTGATATATCCACCATCAGCACAACTTGTCTGCATAAATTTTCTCTGTACAGCATAACGCATTTTTTGTGGTTCCATAGAGGCATAGAGTAATCTCCACATTATAAGGGGGCTTTTTTTTTACAAAGAAATTTCTCTACAAGATTTTTTTCTGGCACCCTTGAATTCGTCGCAGAGCGAGAGAGAGAAAGAGTACACCTGTACTATTCCGAAGACAAAAATTTGCATTACACAAATTTCTTTTTCAATATTGTTCCGCATTACTCGGCATGAGGACTGCGTGTCCACTCGACAACGGACCTGCATTATTATTCACACAAGGACGGTCAAGCAGTCGGTAGGCAGACGAGTCAACCAGCCCCTCACCCCAAATTCCCCCCACGACACATGGCCACCACCAGCACCACAAGAAGAAGAAGAACCCAGCTGTCTGTCGTCAAGTCTTTCCATTGCTGTCCACCCACGGGACGGGACACGGTTCGGGGCCGTTCAACTCTCCAAAGATTTCATTATACACCGCACCCCCCACCTTGGGTAATCGGACCAGTTAGCGGGAGTTATCTGTACCGTTCGTTACGGATCGCCGCTCCTCACTGACCCCTTTCAATTAAAAACCGAATAACGAAACCCAACAACAACCGATGAAAGAAAAAAAAAAAAAAACCCGGTCCGCGTACCAGGCCAAGTGGTCTGTGTTCCCCCCTCTTCACAGTTCCTCGACTCTCGTTATTCAAACAATTGGCCACAAAAGGAAAACACACGCATGCACAAACAAACAACCGGTTCGTCAGGGAGAAAACATTCCTGAAGGTGTCAATTGCGCCATTTTAAAACCTTTTTTTCTCTCTCTCTCTCAGGAAAGTACTTCATGCGAGATAATGCAATTTGCACGCTCGGCGTGGACACGCAACTTGAATTACGAAGGAATGCGGTGGGGAAGCCAAGAATATTTGGCACCGAGTGGAAATAATTATTCTGGACAGAACGAACTCGATAATTTCGAGGAATAAAGAGGTCGTTACTCAAATTTTTTGCCAATCTCAAGCTTCTGTTCGCCAGATTATTTTCGCAATCCAGAAACTCGAGTTGCTATACAGGAAAAAAACAGTTCTTTTTCGGCAATTTTTATACTGGAGTGAGGGTAGCTTTGATGAGCAATTATTGGTATAAATCAAGTCTGTATCTGAACATGATTCACATCACCTGAGAGACTTGGGTCAGATGTTATTTACGTCAAAGCCGTTCGGAGAATTTTGACCCAGAAACTCGGATATTCAAAGAACATCATCTCAAAGGGATAAAAAAAATACTTTCAACTCATCCCTCGGAATTTTTGTGACCTGTCGTCAAAATGAAACATGAATTTTCCCCATCTTCGCTTCTTTCAAGAAGCCCAGAATATATATACATTCTTTTATGTGCAAGGAACATCTGGTTCGAAATGTCAACGTGAAAGACAGGAAGCCCAGAATAGGGAACAAAGCCAGGAAGCGGATACGAAGCACCTGCGAGCACAGTCCCAAATATGAATTAAGTTCCGAAGAAAGTTTTTCTTTTCTTCATCTGCCAGCTTTGTGAAACCTCGTGATCCGCATTGATCCCATAAAAGGAGAAGGGACACACACAAAAATGCATTCATGCGCATCAATGACTCTCAGTTTGCATGAGATGAATCTGAATTGAGAATAGTTTTTTTTTTGTGTGTCAAGCTTCTTAGGTTTATTTTTGACCTCTTTATCGAAGTACAGTTAGCTTTGGTTCGAGATTTTGCTCTTCATCAACTTTTGGCTGAGGGTCTGTTTTAAATTAGTGATGGAGTAGATTTTAATGAGCTTTGTTTCGGATAAGAAGTTAGATTTTAGCATGAGTTTCAGTAAAAATTCATGGACGAGTTTAATTTCAGCTGCAGGTATTCGAGTGATTTTCGGTTTGCGTTTAAGCATAAGCTTCTTCCAAAATGTTGTGTCAGATTCCGGATCAGGATTTTCTGAGAAGTTCAAAATTATGTGCAGAGCTTATTTTTCACTGCGGACAAGGGTTAATTTTTTCTCTCTAGTCTTTCACTTGAAGCTACTCCTCCAATGCTGTTGGGATAGGTTTTTATTCGATTTTTATTACAAGTTTATTTGTAATCTCGTCAGATTCGGCTTCGATTCGATTTGCCCACGTTTTGGCTCAGAACCTGGCGTAGGTTCACGTTTCTAAGCTTTATTTTTCTTCGCAGATTGACGCACACATTTACTCAAATACAGTTTTAAATTCCTAAATGAAGCAAAAAAAGAGTTCAAGAGAGACTCCAATCGCTTTCGCGAAGTCAGTTTTTCGCAACTGATTCCTCTGAAATTGATCGTATCAAATCAAGAATGTGAAAATGAAAATTATATCGAGCCAATGACGATTCAAACTTTTTCGACCTTTTACAACAACCAGAAATTCTGAGCACCGTCAGCATCCATTCGCTTTGAATCCGTCCGCAATCGCCATGTAATTTCGTGTCCCCATTTTCTTTGTGCTTCAAGATAACGGGGTTTTCGGCCAAGTAAAAAAAAATTCGCGTAATTGGCAAGTGAAAGCCGGATTCGAAGGAGATCCGAAAAAAAAATATCTGCAACGGGACACGTGATAGAAGGAAAAAAAAAAGACAGGTACTGAAAAATGGCTCACACGAGATTTTATTGTCGATTAGAATGAGATGATTCTGCCTGAAATGTCCGAATTTCATTACTGAAGTACGAAATGAGAAACTCGTCTCCAGAACCAATCCAGGATAAATATATCCTTGAAAAATGCCCATTCCTCGTTATTTTCTTTAAAATAAATAAATAACCCGATGCCATGATAATGAAGGTAATATTTGACGAAGAACGCGACGCTGCCAGGGTTGAATGAATTTGCACTCATCATTTTTCCGGAGTCCATCACTCCCTTTCTTCCAATTCAAAAAAACTGCACTTATTCTCATCATTAGTTCTCCTCCACCTGTCCCCATCTCACCGCAATTATTTCAACCAAGTAACTCTTACTCTCATTATCTCCATCAGCAGGATAAGGAGAGAGATGGAGAGAAAGAACAGCTGACAGGACATAGGAGACGGTCGACTGGAATGCAAGGGTTTTATCAAAAGTTCTACGAATCGAATCGCCTCCATCATGATTGCAGTTGAATGAAAAAAAAAGGCTGTGACCATTCCGAAAATTATGATGCGTTCAAAGAAGTTCCAACTCCAACCCAACAAGAAACAAATTAATTTTCGAAAAGTTATTAACGTAACGGAAGGTTTTCTGCGGAAAAAGACGCTCATCACATGCATAATAATGACTTCTTGAAGCTCCGCCAATAACAAAACTTCCAAAGGAATCAGTGAAATCTACTCGAGGGCAAGGCCTTCTATTTTGGGACCACTATCGGGTTGTTTTTTTTTAGACTCGTAGTGATTTTCTCACAGACGGGTTCCGAAAATTGAGATCATGAATATATTTGTACCAGATGTTTAAGACGACAGCTGAGAAAAAAAAACCGGGAACATCCGACCATATAAAATTATTTCTGATGTCACTCATAGAATACCTTTCACATTTCTTCGTATCTCTTCCAGTTGCTTCAACTTCACGTGTTCATCGTTAATTTTAAAAATGCTAAAAATTAAAAACCCCTTTCATTAAGCCAAAAAATTTTCTTCGTGAATTTCCAACAAATTCAGAGAAGCCCCTCGCATATCTACAATGCAGCAGCAGATAAGAGAAGGAACCATCACCCGAACCCGGGTACAATATAAATTGAGCGATTGCTCTGTAGAAGATAGCACGTATTTTGCCTTTCTTCGCGAGAACCAGATGATAAGAAGGCTTGTTTTCCACACAAACATTCGTACTGGATGAAAGAATGAAGCCTCTACGACTTCATTCATAAAATCGTTGTAAAAGCTCAGTGAATAATTTAATGACACGCAGAACTAGGACAGCTATATCACAATCCCTTTCAAACCAAGTCAGGAAGGGTATGACAACCCTCTACGATCATTCTTTTTAATTTGTGATAACCAAAATGATGCAATTAATGTAACACAAAATGTGACCTCATTTGAAAAAAAAAATCCATCAACTTTCAGTTTTTTCCGTCAAAATATCTTCAACAGTTCAGGAAATATTTGTGGTTAGAAATCGGTATGATCTGAACCACCCTGTACAACACACAATTCTTCACATTTTCTGCTCATGTCCAAATCCAAAATATCAAGAGATTAAAAGAACTACAGAATTAAAATTTTGAACACAGCTAATTTACGGTTGGAGCCAGACTTTCACCATCACATCGCTGCAGATTTTTTCAAGACTAAAATAAATTGACTGAATTCTTCGGATGCCCCTCGAAAGACGTGTGACTATTCAGAACAGCGAGGATTTCACGCTTCTCGACGACAAAACAGAATTCTTCTCCACATTTTCCACGTATATTTCCTGAGTTTCATCTCGGATTGTTTTTATCTTTCGTTTTTTGTTCGTGAAGAGAAAAGAGCATGTAGGAGGATTTCCGCATCAATTCGTCACACATGCAGATGCGAGGAAGAAAAAAAGTTGAAGCTGTTCTTGAGGACGACATTTTGTAGGAAGATGGCATGAAAATTATGCGGCGAACCTGATGCAAATG